CACCTCCTCCATACTCTCCCCTCCAATCTGATATTCAATTTTTTCATCACCTAATCTTTTTGTTAATCCTCATAACCTTACTCTTTCCTGTATTCACCCTTTAATTTTCTTCTTTTGCACACCCTACCAAATTCATCCACCAATTCTGCAACTTCTTTTCAGAATCTCCCAAACACAGTGTCATCAGCAAAGAGCACTGTGACACTCCCACTTTGTGTGTGATTCTTTTTCTTTAACTCCACGCCCTTGTCAAAACCCTCGCAATTTTTACTTCTCTTACAACCCCATCTATAAATATATTAAACAACCACGGTGACATCACACATCCTTGTCTAAGGCCTACTTTTACTGGGAAATAATTTCCCTCTTTCCTACATACTCTAACTTGAGCCTCACTATCCTCGTAAAAACTCTTCACTGCTTTCAGTAACCTACCTCCTACACCATACACTTGCAACATCTGCCACATTGCCCCCCCTATCCACCCTGTCATACGCCTTTTCCAAATCCATAAATGCCACAAAGACCTCTTTAGCCTTATCTAAATACTGTTCATTATATTTTCACTGTAAACACCTGGTCCCCACCCCCCTACTTTCCTAAAACCCCTTGTTCATCTGCTTCCATTTTTCCGTCTTACTCTTAATTCTTTTTAATAATAACTTACCATACACCTTACCAGTATCTCAGCGACTTATCCCCCTATAATTTTTGCACTCTCTTTTTATCCCCCTTTGCCTTTATACAAAGAACAGCAGCCCTGCCAACCCAGGTACCTTACCCTCTTCCATACATTTTTTAAATAATTGCACCAACCACTAAAACTTTTTATCCCCCCTCTTTTTTAAATTCATCTTATCCCATCAATTTCCCGCTGCCTTTCCCCCCTTTTTTTTACCCACGCCTCCGAACTTTCCCCAACACCACAACTGGCTCTTCCTCACTCCTACAAATGTTATTCCTCCTTGCCCATACCGAAATCACAGCTTTCCCCATCTTTATCAACATTAACAATTCCTCAAAATATTCCCTCCATCTTCCCAATACCTCTAACTCTCCATTTAATAACTCTCCTCTCCTATTTTTAACTGACAAATCCTTTGTTCTCTGGGCTTTCTTAACTTGTTAATCTCACTCCAAAATTTTTTTCTTATTTTCAACAAAATTTGTTGATAACATCTCACCCACTCCTCATTTGCTCTTTTTTTACATTGCTTTCACCACTCTCTTAACCTCTCTCTTTTTCCTCCTATACTCTTCCCTCCTTAAACCCACTTCTACTTTGTAAAAACTTCTCATATGCTAACTTTTTCTCTCTTACTACTCTTTTTAAACATCATCATTCCACCAATCGCTCCTCTTCCCTCCCGCACCCACTTTCCTGTAACCACAAACTTCTGCTGAACACTCTAACACTACATTTTTAAAACCTACCCCATACCTCTTCGACCCCCATTGCCCTATGCTCTCATTAGCCCATCTATCCTCCAATAGCTGTTTATATCTTACCCTAACTGCCTCCTCTTTTAGTTTATAAACCCTTTCCCACCTCTCTCTTCCCTGATGCTTCTATTCTCCTTGTATCCCATCTACCTTTTACTCTCAGTGTAGCTACAACTAAAAGTGATCTGAAAATATCTGTGGCCCCTCTAAAAACATGTACATCCTAAAGTCTACTCAACAGTCTTTTTTCTACCAATACATAATCCAACAAACTACTGTCATTTTGCCCTACATCATATCTTGTATACTTATTTATCCTTTTTTCTTTAAAAAATGTATTACCTATAACTAAACCCCTTTCTATACAAAGTTCAATCAAAGGGGTCCCATTATCATTTACACCTGGCACCCCAAACTTAAACCCACCACACCCTCTCTAAAAGTTTCTCCTACTTTAGCATTCAGGTCCCCCACCACAATTACTCCCCTCACTTGGTTCAAAGGCTCCTATACATTCACTTAACATCTCCCAAAATCTCTCTCTCTCCTCTGCATTCCTCTCTTCTCCAGGTGCATACACCTTATTATGACCCCTTCTCGCATCCAACCTTTACTTTAATCCACATAATTCTTTAATTTACACATTCATATTCTCTTTTCTCCTTCCATAACTGATCATTTAAACATTACGCTACCCCTTCCTTTGCTCTAACTCTCTCAGATACTCCAGTTTTAATCCCATTTATTTTCCCCCCACTGAAACTCTCCAAACCCCCTTCAGTTTTGTTTCGCTTAGGCCAGACATCCAACTTTTTTTTCATTCAAACATCAGCAATCATCTTTTTTCTTGTCATCCCACTACATCCACCACATTTAAGCACCCCCATTTTATAAAGTTTTTTTTTTCTTCTCTTTTTTTAGAAAGGTCTACGGGAGAAGGGGTTACTGCCCATTGCTCCCGGATTCAGTCGCCCACACGACACGCATGGCTTGGGAGGAAAGATTTTTTCCACTTCCCCAGGGACAATAGAAGAATAAAGAAGAACAAAAACTTTTTTAAAAAAAGGAGAAAAACCTAGATGTATTAAATATATATATCTTTTGGGCGTGTCTGTGAAGTGTGACCAAAAGTGTAATGGATAGCAAGTTTCCCGTTATCTAGCGTTTATGAGACAGAAAAAGATTGAAAGTTTTTAACAAACTTTTCATTTTGAAGGGGGGATAACGCATGTATTGTCATCCCAAACCCCAAAAAGGGAAACCACACACAACATTTTATTATTTTATTATTATATTATTATTATTTTTTTAATTTTTTTTTATTAAAGGGGAAGCGCTAAACCCGAAGGATTATACAGCGCCGTGGGGGGGGGATGTGGAAGGCCATCACTTAATTGGGGGAAACGGGACACAGATCCAGTTCCCAAAAATCAAGCCACTCACCAATACAAGGAACCTTCCTTGAGGGGATCACTAGAACAAAAAGGGAACTACGCTACAACCGGGCAGGATTTTTAACAATGCTTGGGGAATGAAGAAAATCAGATTTCATCCAAGGAAAGATTCATTGTAGATACATATTTTTTTTCCCAATTTTTTTATCGCTGAAAAAAGCCCCATTTATTTTTAAAGAACCATAAATTGTCTTCAAATTTAAGAATTTTTTCAGTTTGATAAATAAGCCAGGATGCAGTCAGTCAAATGTTAATCATATTAGCAGCTTTTAAACCCCTTTTTGCAACACACTGTACATTTTATGACCCGTCTGATCTATTTACAATGTAAGAGTTAAAAACGATCTAACTTTATTTACCCAAACTCATCATAAAATTTTTCTTTTATATTCTCACTCGGGAGGTTTTTTTACAGCGAGAAGTGTATATTTGCACAAGTATATACAGCGAGGAGTATATGCAGCGAGAGGTATACATCTTACATTATACAGCAAGAAAATACATCACAATATATAGAGGCATACGTCTCGCACTATATACAGCGAGAGATTAAATTTCACCGCAAATAGCAAAAGGGGCTGCAATAAAGCGAGATATATACATATCTCAACTGATGCATGACAATAACGATAACGATAGACTGTGAAATAAAGAAATGGGGCAGTTGGTTAAATTAGGCAAGCTTTGTCATTGTCAGGAAACAGGATACGTGTTAATTGACGTAAGTCTTAGTCATATGATGACCCATTGCTGGAGCTTTAGGTCATCTGACTGACGCCTTCCGCTGGCTTACCGATCCCTTCCCCTTCCACAAATTATGGTTATGATTATAAATATTTTTTGTGACAGTTGTAATCTTAACTGTTAGGCATTTCAACCCCAGGGAACTATTTTAATCTAATACTGAACAGAAAAACAGAATATCATATATATATATATATATATATATATATTATAATCAAGGGGAAGCGCTAAACCCGGAGGATTATACAGCGTCTGGGGGGGATGTGGAAGGCATTCAGGCTTAATTCGGGGAACTAGAGCACAGATCCAATTCTCTAAATCAAGAGCCCCTCACCAACATCAAGGAACCTTCCTTGAGGGGTATAATTAAAAAACACTAAACCCACTAGGGTTTATATACACAGTAAGTGTAAATCTGCACTGCGAGGTGTCTATTTCACATATCTTGTATATATAAAGAGTTTGATTTAATGCTTGAATGTGTACTCCAGTTCTTTGAATTAAACCTGAATCCCTTCCACGTCCCCCAACAAGCGCTGTATAATTCTATGGGTTTAGCGCTTCCCCCTTGACTATAATAATACTTTAGTTATTAAATTTCTGTGTTAGTTTCCATGTGAATTGTTGCCTTTTATGACCCATTTACAGTGGATAGACTAAATTTGTGACGTGAAGTGTAACAGGTGAGTGCTATTTTAGCGATTTAAGTATTTTTGATATTACTTTTAGGTGGATTTTAGTCCTTGAAGACTGATATTTAGTGGACGAGCTTCAATGTCAAGACAAGTAAAGCACCGAGGCTTATTTATTCCTGCCCCTCAAGGAAGGTTCCTTGATGTTGGTGAGGGGCTCTTGATTTAGGGAATTGGATCTGTGCTCCAGTTCCCCGAATTAAGCCTGAATGCCTTCCACATCCCCCCCCCCAGGCGCTGTATATCCTCCGGGTTTAGCGCTTCCCCATTGATTATAATAATAATAATTATTTATTCCTGAAAAAGCTTCCCATTCCCCAGGATGGGGAATGGGAAGCAGTCAGGGCTCGAGGAAAGGGAGACTAGCTCCAATTCCTTAGCTAGAGTATGACAGGTTAGCCTTATAAGTGGTACAGGGACGGTTTAAGCGAGTAAGGTGGGTATATGAGGGACATACAGAGTGGCACACACCAAGTCACTTTAAGCTTCCCTGGCTCTACTACACCATCACAACACTGCGCGGAGCAACACGTAAAGTAGTGCCTCGTGAAACCTCTCAATTATCTCTCCGAAGGGAGAAGAATACAAAGGTATAACATTAAATTAGCCAGGGCATGTGTTTGTGTTGCCTTCAGGAGAAAAAATAAATTCATGCGAAGTTGAAGTGGTTCTATAGAACATATAATTGTTAGGGGCGGGCGGAGGAGGAAATGGGCGAAAGGTTGTTGTGTGGTTGATCCTGAGGGGTGGAACGTCATTGTTGATATTTTGTGCGTTTGGGCATTTAATTTTCATTTTAAGCCTTCAGTAACGCTCATTTATAAAGGTAAGCGCCGAGAACTGCATGTAATGCTCGAGAAATTACTGGGAATTGGCTTAAAATGGCGTGAGAGATAAAAGTGGTGGTAAACATTTTGTTGTGTCTTCCGTCCTCCCGTCACTTCAAGACCAGCTGATCACACCTCTGTCTCGGAGGCCTCCACTAATATTACTCTCACCATCTTTATATAACACTAATTGCTACCCGTTTCCAGCAGTATGTTTGATATATTAATGCCCGTCGAGCTCGTGCTTTCTACATTAAGTGTATTTCTACGTCATTACTAATGGACATTGAACTTCAAACTTTAAAAGTTTTTCTTTTATGTGGCTCTTTTTTTTAGTATTGGGACAATAGCGTGTAGGAAAATGAACTGTTCTATGTATTATGTGTTGAAGAGTTGTGATTTTTTATTCTTAGACCTGAAATGCTCTACTTGCATACATTCACTAACGAGGAATGTACGGTTCTTCATTATATTTAATTATCAAGTGAGAAGCTTCAGACAGTGTTAAATCAGTTTTAACCAAAAGTTGAACAAATATATGTTTGACATTTATAAGAAAAAATCTTACATATTTTAATTGCCTGGCTATTTTTATGGCTGTGTCTTGGTACAGCAGAGGCTTTGTATATGGGAATTTATAACACTTGAATATTTATTAATACATTCAGGTCTATATGCATTCAAGTGGAGACTCGCATGATGGTTAATATGGACTTTTTGAAATTGTGCAATAGTTCTTGCTAGATCAAAAAAATAAAAGGTTAATTTTTACTATTGATCATTTTGTGCATTATAGTACATTAATTTGTATTCATAAAATTATATCCTATTCAAGTTTTAGTGGTATGTTACAGTTGTATCAAATTGGTGGTAGATTGTTAAAAGCTGTAAAGAATTTTTATGAGTAAGGCTCAGCTTAAGGTCTGTAGGAGTATATAAAAGTAAGTGGGCCTTAGAGATCATTATATTAATGGTATACAATATCTGCAAGTACAGTAGATGAATAAGGGGCCTATGTAACAGTTTAGTATCTATTGCTTTAACATTTTGCCTGCTCAGCAGGCTTCTTCAGTTGAAAGATGTAACGTTGTATGTTGGCAAGTGTTTCTTTGAAAGATGAAGTGAATTGCAGAGGAAAGTTTATCAGTGGATGAAAAGGGAAAGTATCAGTGGAGCTTGATCAGTATGAGGTGCAAATATTAGGTAGAGAATAATGATTTGAAGAAATAAGACTTATATGATGGTTTGGAAAATGTAATTCAGGGAGTGCAGGAGGATATATATAGATGGCTTTGTCATTTAGAATGGATAGAGCAAGATAGGCTTACCAAGTGGGAGTATAAATCTGGAGTGAATGGAAGGTGGTATAGGGAAGATCCCAAAAGGGATTAGAAAGTGAAGGTTTTGAAAGGTAGGAGCTTAAGCATGCATGTGCAAGTGTGTTAGATCAGATTGAGTGGAGATGGTTTTTTGGGAGTTGATGCACTGTTGAGTTTGAGCAAGGTAACATCTGTTAAAGGGATTTGGGATGCTAGTTAGCCTGACTTGGGCTTTGGATGTCTGAAGTACAGTACAGTATCGTATAAATGTGTACTACAGTATAATCTATGTTTGAACGTACCAGATCTTGGACAAACCTGAGTCCAACAATTTTGTTCAGGAAAAATTTACCTAGTCTTTGAACATTTTTCTGGAGTCTGAATGTGCCAACTTGTTTAAAATTCAGTTGATTCAGAAGTGCTTTGAAGTGACCTCTGACACTGACTTAACTCTGAGGCTTTTGAAAGTCAGTGCTGTATAATCTCTATGGGTTTAGTGCTCCCCCATGATGATGATAATGGAAGTGTCAGTTCAGCATTCTTCATTTATGTGAGGCTGATAATTAAGCCTGGGAAGTAAGTGTTTCAGGCACCAAACTTTCCACAGTTTGAACTAAGCTATCAACAATAAAAAATATTGAATTTTATTACAAGAAAGTAAACTGGTGACAAGTGTTCAAAAGTTACTGGGGGAGGGGGAAAAAAAAAAAGACAGAATTTGATAAAATGCTTGGATAAAAACCTGCAGTCTGAAAAAATAAGTATGAGCTTTGATCACTAAATTTTATTAAATTTTTAACTATAATAATCACTCGTATTATTCAATAAAAATAATGGATGACCCAATTTTATTACTCTTATTTAGATTGAGAAAATTTTTCATGATTTCTCATGAAAGACTAATCTGGAAACCATAAAACTTAAGGAGGAATGAAATTCAGATTATTATAGTTGATTGAGAGAGCTTTTTGTTTGAAAGATAAATACTAACATTGATAAAAGGTGAAATGTCCTCATGCTATGACAGGTATGTTATTAGCAAGGTGAGTGCACCTGATAATGTTCCTAATTTATATAATTTCACTTGATAGGGAAGAGAAAATCTGAGTGTGTTTGCAGGTGATGCCAAGATCGTATGCAAAATAAGTACTGTACTCTAAATTCATGTAAAAGGATTGATGCGATGAGAAAATGGAGGGATAGGTGGATGTAATTTTATGTAGATAATTGCCATGTAATGAAAATAAGAACAAGTGGTAACAGGCCACATGATGGAGGTAAATTGTGATAAAATAATATTAAAGAGGGAGAGTTAAGTGTCATCTAAAATCTTTGAAAAATTAATTCATAGACGGATCTATTCCTACCTCGTTTCACACAACATATTAAACCCTTGTCAGTTTGGATTCAGGAATAATAAAAGCACAAATGACACTATCATACACATGCTAGAACTAATATATACCGCACTTGAAAAGAATGAAGTCCCACTGGGCATTTTCTTTGATTTACGTAAAGCATTCGATACAGTCGACCATGAACTACTGTACTCCAAATTAATGCACTATGGTATCAGAGGCCACTCCCTCAACTACCTAAAGTCATACCTTAGTAACAGAACTCAATATGTACACGGTCAGATTTACGTGTCAGCGTGCCTCGTTGTGCTCCGGGTTTTCTCGTGTTTACACGGTTGCTCTTACGTGCTAGAACTTTAATTTGTGCCATCAATCCTATACGATACATCCCTCTGGCGCCTGGAACCAATCTTGGGCGGAAAACATTATATACCGAGTCAAAAAAGGAGAATTAGTGTGCACTACCTAGCAGAATACCACCTGGTGGTTCACACTTACACTCACTCACCCATTTGACCATAAACAGAAATATTAATCTCAATCTTAAAATAATGAATCCTATGATACTCCAATACTGAAACTATGTACTGTGCCAAAACAAAAGCATTCACATTGCTAAACTCACAAACTAGTATTTAGTCACTTAGCCATAATACCAACTTACCTCATAATTTGTAATATTTTAAAATAAAGAATTAAACTAAGTCTGCCCGAAATGCCTAGCCATGCTAGGCGTTCTAGTGGTACACTCTGTAATCATTATTTAACTACATGTAAACCACACAACAACCAAATTCTGTAAATTCAACATTGTAATCTTTATAGAGAATAAACTTTGAATTTGAGTTTACTGCCAGAGGGGGATCATAGGCCTGTGTTCCGTGTGCAAAATAATAATAATAGAACTTTTCTTTGTCAGAGGAAAGAAAGTCTCCCTGATAACATTGTGTATACATAGTGTATACTACAGTGGCTCCCTAGTACATAGATGATAAAGGCTAAAGTGTCATTTGAAAACAGGTGAATTTGTAAATGAGGTAATGAGGTAATTTACACTATATAAGATAGTTGTACTTGTGTGTACCTGTGACTTAATAAACTTAATTGAACTGTATATATCATTGCTTAGTTAATCTTAAGTTAATTTTAAGCTTGCCCATAATGCTCTGCATGCAAGGGGCTTTTGGCATGTGCACCCAGTCACTATATTTCTTTGTACAACTATGTATCATGTCCAAATAAAAAATAAATAAATAAATAAATAAATAGAGGCAGGTGCCAGAAGTCGCCAGAAACTTACCACAGTGGTCAGCTGTTTTAATAATCTTCTTGGCCTGCTAGTGTACTCGCATATAATCTAGTGATACCAGTGAATAGCAGAATACAGTGTTGTAGTAGCAACTAACCAGTATTTTAATGGTACTTAGTGGAGTGGAGTGACTTTCATTAGTTTCTTTTTTCTTGAAATACCAGACGTATACTGTGAATTTCATATAACCTGTAGTTGCCAGCGGTCGCAATATACACAACGAGAAGCAATTATTACTACAGAAAAAGCGTCCTTCCTCCAAAATTTCCGCCAGTCAAGTATAGCATTTGTTGTGGTGGAGACGAAAAAAAACTAGAAAAGCTAGATACAGCGATTGATAAACAAGGGTTGAGGCTCGACCGTTCGTCACTGTAGGAGCTGCCAGAAATCACCGGTTCTTCAACACGCAAGTTATACTTTTGTATCAATCAAATCACATATTACTCGGGTAGATAATTTCAAGTACAGTAGATCCTTCATGTGTTAGCCCAAATCACCGACCAGTATGTTTTAAATAAGTGACCCACTGATCAGATCAGACTGGTCCGAACCCTCGACTGGTCCGAACCCTTGATGGTCCGAACCCTCGACTGGTCCGAACCCTCGACTGGTCCGAACCCTCGACTGGTCCGAACCCTCGACTGGTCCGAACCCTTGACTGGTTACAAACGGATTCGTTGGACAATAAAGCAGACTGTAAACGGATGGGGTTGTAGGCACCCTTATCAAACACAAACAATAAATATAAATCAGGAACGTACACGGTAAGCTGTCCAATATACAAGTACAGTTAGAAATAGAAATACAAATAGCTAGAGCTTCATTTAAGGAGGTTATTAATAGAGTATTCAAGAGGTTGCTAGTAGAATTACAGTAAATCAACCATTCAAATCATTATGAAGCTCTGTGTAGTCTGCAGTCAATCAAACAAACGGCTTCCACATGGATAAATTGTCATTTTTGTGGAAATTGGTGTCACGCCCCTTGTGCAGATATCCAAGAACTAGCTACAA